TGCAGCCACCAACAAATTCGGAAAAAAACTATATAAACTTATGAATATTGCTGTGTTTGGAATGACGATGGAAAACATCCGTAAACATCGCGTTGTCAAATTATGTGGATCGTGGAATGGACGCTATGGGGCTAAAAATATGATCGCCAGCTCAAAGTTTCGTGGCCAGACGATTTTGGGCGACGATCTGATTGCTATCGAATTGGCTGAATCTGAAATAGTCTTCAACAAACCCCTATACATAGGGATGGCCATTTTGGATTCATTCAAGACGTGTATGTAAAGTTTCCATTACGATTTCATGCTTCCAACGATGGGGGTAGAAAAATGTAAGTTAATGTATACAGACACCGATAGTTTTATCTCCGAACTTGGCTGTGACGATGTATATCGTCCCCTAGAAGGCAGACTATCGTAAGCAACATTTCTCCAATTTCATAGGAGACACTAAAAACAATATACAGATACTACTGGATGACGAAAATCTGATTTTCTTCGACAAAGCCTGCATTTCATCATTTTCAACTAGATTTCTGGATGGAATTTGAAAAATCCTCGCATTTTACCAATGAAATACCGCTTAAGATATTCTCTATTGCTAGGATTGGGTGATTACGATACTTCTACCTAGCGCTTGAGATATTATCCCAGTTATCAGGGGTGCTTAAGATATTTTACATCGATAGACGTAACTAGTAAATGGTGAGGAATAGTATCGGAGAATAATGAATTAATGATAAAAAATATTCAATTTATAACATTTATTATGCCAAAAACGTATAATGACCCATTTCACTTTTACAAAATGATGTCAGTTTGGCTCTTCTTGAAGATCATCTTCTTCATCAGTCTCTGGTAATGTGTCAATCACTGTTTTTGACTGATTGAATGCCCTATATTCTGCATGATACTCTGGAATTATTGCATTTTGCTTGCACAATTTCTGCAAGTCTTTATATTTCAGCGTAGAAATTGGCAGCTGGGCTGAGTAACACTTCTTCAATTGGACATTATTGGCGTTTTTAATCAAGAATTCTTGTTTATCAGCGGTTGAATCCATATAACTATACTTGACTGACATACATGCATTCCCGGAAGTCATTTCAATGGAGGTAATCTTCGAAATTCTCAGAAGTTTTCCTTTTCGTTCGTTCTTTCGTTTTGAGGATTTGGCTTTGGTGTTATTGACCGAGCGGACCTTGCGTTTTCCAATATTGTTCGTTTCTTCACTTATAGCATCTTGTATTTCTTGATTTTCGTTGAATTCAAGCGCTACGTCCTCGTATAGGGAATATTTAGGTATACATTTGGAGTCTGCTTCAAATGAAGTCCAGTCATCAAAATCTGTGTAAGAGAGAGAAAACACTTGGTATGGCTTGGGATTATGTCTTGCGAGAGAGATAACTGTAGGCCATTGAGAAGGAGCATAAATTATTTTTTTAGAAATGAATGAATCTATGGTTGAATGGACGGAATCTGCGGGCATGTAGGTGTGACCAGCGATAAGATAATTGATTGTGATACGTTTCAAATTTTTCGAATTTTTCAAAAAAGTGTTGAACATAACAATCATTTGCCTATTTTTATTCTGACCACTGCAGTTGTCACAGTAGAACACAATGGTACTGATTTGTGGTCTATTTTGATCAACATCCTTCAGGTACTTGAATAAAGACGTGCAGATCTCATTAGAGCCTTTCTTCCCACACGTTTCATTCCAGATATAACATAATCCGTTTTTAGTTCGGCTCTCATAGATTGTGAAATTATAAACTGCTATTTTTCTCGAATAATACAGGAGCATGCTTTTTCCACAGGGTGTGTTCAAAACTTTTTGGAGATCGAATGAAGCGCATAGAAAATCTTCTTCTTGATTATTTTGATCTTGTAAAAATCGCATTTGACATGCTTTAACTTCATCTTTGTGCTTGTCATAAATCATTCTATCAGATTCATTCAGATTTTCAATCCCAGTTTGCTTGACTTGCTCACAGTGACTGCATTTGTCCTTCTTTGGGACATGAAAACTGAAGTTGAATTGTTTGAAAATTTTTCGAAAAACATCTCTCTTGACTGGTTGAACATTCCTTTCTCTAGAATCAGCAATATAAATCCTCTCAAGATTGGTCAAGTTTCCGATTTCCACAGGCAGGTACAATTTTTTTGATTTTTTACGGCAATAATGAGATGGTACTACTGGTAGTTTATCAATGAATTTCTTCACTGAGGCAATATCTTTATCAGAAGTCTTATTTTTGGGTGCATGCTTACCTCGACCATCTGGTTTTGCCCTATGAGTATTGGTAACATTTTGAATTGTGTGCCGTAATGTCATCTGACTGATATCTAGGGTTTTCAGTAGAAATTGCTGACACACTTTTTTTCGCGCCCATGCAATATAACTTTATATTCCATGGTCTTCTTTCTTCGTGACACTTCCTCCTTTGTTCTCTTCCTCTTTATGTCTTTCACAGATATACAACTCAGGATCCAATTTTTCTTCTGTTCATAAGAATTGAATTTGTAATACTCCTTGAACAAAAGTTCTCTGTCATCATCACAGATTGATGCACATTCGTTTGGGCATTTTTTTCCTAGGCATGGATTAGGCTTCACTTGTTTCAGTTCACCAGCATCCCTTCTCTTCTTTTGTTGCTTGCGTTTATTCACTTTTCTTTCTTTGTATTTAGAAATGCCATATTTGTTGTTATTTGTATCCTCAGCTTCCCTTATCTCTTCAACATTCCTGATTTCTTCATCATTCCTAATCACTTCTTCATCATTGACGATTTCTTCTTCGTTTCTCATCTCTTCTTCAACTGATCTGATTTCTTCAACATTGTCTCCTTCAATTCTTCCTTCAAACTCCCTGATTTCTTCTTCATCATCCCTGATGTTGTTCTCATTATAACTCGAAGTGATTGAGATACTTTCATTGCCTTCTTCTTCAATTTCATTGTCACTTGTTGGAATCCATGCTGGATCATCTTGATCATCTGCTATTGGCTGTAATCACGAATTAAAAAGTGTTCAAACCATCAATATTGTCAATCATTAGAGGATTGTTAGTTCTTACCTCCTCAGTACAACATTCGCCATCTGCATCACCAAATTCAATGTTCAATGTACCTATGTCAAGGTCATGAATATTCATGATGGTGTTTTCTTTCTCATTTGACTCGTCTTCTGCGATCGTCAAATTTTGTTTGTAGACCATTTGGTTCATTACCTGCAAAGTAAGTAGGTGCGGTGAGTATAACATAAAATTTTAGAGCTTGTTTTCAATATTCACAAGTAGCCCGTACGTGAAAGTAGGTATAGTGGGGTGATCGAAAAAAAAAAGAAACGACTTTGAGAATCACTCTTCTTAACCAATTTTTATAGTTGGGAAGTACTCACCTCTAGTCCTCTCAAGGAATCATCAGCAGTATGAATGGGAACATAAATTTCTTCTACATTATCGAAATTCCCCTTTAGTGCTTTCAAAAGTTCTTCATCTGGTTCGATTAATAGTATTGGTGTAGACCGCGCTATATCGGTCGTGCCGTTCGAAACGGGACTTTGATGATCAAATTCTTGCACAGAATCGACAGGAACTGTCGAAGTACTGGTCTCCACAATTTTGGTTTCACTTTCACAACTTTGAACCATTTTCTGTCCTCTAGTCATCGTCGTGTTTGCCTTGCTTTGAACCGATTTGTGTTTACTAGATAACATGATTGTTCTCTAACAAATTGAAAATTCCAAACACATAAAGCTACTAACTGCAGTCTAAAGTAAATAAGAAATGGCGAAGCGAATGGTCAACGGTTCGTTAATTAGGTAATAAAATCGTATGCGCCAGGAGCATGCGCGCTACGTTACATTCGTTTGTCGGTTGCGATATTTTACACAGTTGGGCCCGTCCCTTACGATATTTTCCAGGCGTATAAGATATTTCGTCTTCAAACTGGAGATACGATAGACAATCTTCAAGCAATAATCTCAAGAAAACGGATCCGTCTATCGCATAAGATACTTTTATAATCAATGAGTGGTCTCGGGCGGTTTATGTAGGATATCGTAACTCATTTCCATCAAAAGTGTTGCTTACGATATTCTGCCTTCTAGGGGACGTTATGCGGAACTTATCGAAAATAACTTGTCCAAATTCGACACTTCTGACTACCCTTCTGACATCCCGTATGGAATTTTGCAAGTGAATAAAAAGGTCCTGGGAATGATGAAAGATGAGGCGAATTCGAAAATAATAACACACTTTGTAGGCTTACGTTCAAAAATGTATGCCTACAAAGTGCAGGGGGGTAAAGTTACCAAAAAATCAAAAGTTGTTAAATTTAACGTGGTGAGGAATAAGATATCATTCAATGATTATGTGGCTTGCTTGAAAGACTTCAAGGGGCAGACAGTCACTCAGCGGACAATCCGTTCCTTCAACCATCAAGTATTCAGTATTGAACAGTCGAAAATTGTGATATCAGACTCGCTCCGCTCGTCTGATAAACATACGAACACGCCACCAAACAAAAATAGGTCTAACCTATCGTAGCTTGGATGTTTCTAGACCGACCGAACAAAAATAGGTCTAACCTATCATAGCTGCGTGGAAAACGTGACATATCTGATGTGTTTGACGTACGTCTTTGATGTTTTGATACGCCCTTCGAACGTTGATTCGTCATAAGCGTGGAAAACGTGACGTTTTCGACGTTTTTTACGTTTCTGACGTTGGTGATGTTTTGACACATGTTTTTTCATAGGACGTTGAATATATTCGTCGAAAGCGTGAAAAACGTCAAAAACGTCACGTTTTTAACGTTTTTGACGTTTCTGACGTTGGTGATGTTTTGACACATGTTTCTCCATAGGACGTTGGATGCATTCGTCGAAAGCGTGAAAAACGTGGAAAACGTCAAAAACGTCACGTTTTTGACGTTTTTGACGTTTTTTGACGTTTTTTGACGTTTTTTACGTTTCTGACGTTGGTGATGTTTTCTTAGCAATGACGGCTAAATATCTAGACTGTCTGACGAGGTACTCGACTCCGTCAGAAGCGTGAAAAACGTGACGTTTTGACGTTATTGACGTTTTTGATAATCTCAAACGAGCCACCTAAAAAAAAATAGATCTAACCTATCGTAGCTTGGATAGTCCAGATCGATATAGCATCAAACCCAACTCATGATGTCGGCCTACTCTCTAACCTACCCTGTTCGAATTCTTGGGACTCTGAGGCTTCAGGATATTCTTTGGTCAATCAAACAAATTGATGTGTTAGTGAGG